AAGTACTTTAGGATGCACCAAGGCAGCAGAACAAGAGGGCATAGGTTTAGAGTTGCGAAGCTCAATATCAGAACAGGCACAAGAAACTTTTCCTTTACTCAGAGGTAAATAACAACAACAAATTACCTTTGAATAGTGCCTTAATAACAACTGGGAACAGGCTGCCAGGAAAGGTGGTTGAGGACAGGCACTGGATTCATTTGAAAAGCAGCTTGATACTGTGAGGGGAGGATGGTTGGGTGGGTATTCTTCAAGGATGAGATCAGATGAGCCAAATGGCCTTCTTTATTTAACCTTGTATTTGTAGGATCATTTTTCATTCACGTTCAATGGGTTTACCATTTTCATCTCAACCACATCAGACAGGAAAGGTTAGTAGACCTTATTCCCTGCCTTTGTCTTGCAAATGGAATAAACTAAAATGACTGGAATTCTCATATGGCATTCAAAAGAAGTGAAAGAAGCATTGAATGCAGGAGAGTTCAGTTTGATGCAGAATTGCGGTTAACAAGAACACACAGCAAAAATCCTGTCATAAAATTAATTGACATAAAATTAATCATTCAATCCGTGGCTGTTTGTGGGACACTGTTGTGTGAAAATTAACCAGTTTAATCTGGGTGATTGTTGGTCTGGAAACTGGGATAAACTCCCCAAAAAACAAAAAAGAGGTGTTTTCTGGATGAACGCGGCAGCCAAGTTACGCACAGCAACTCCCATAAACAGCCATGGAGTGATTTACCAGTATTGTCTGGGGGATTGTTGGTCAGGATACTGGGAGAAACTGCCTTCTCTTTTTGAATAATGTTATTCAACTCTTTCAACTCCACCCGAACAGGCAGACGGGATCTCAGTTTAACATCTCATCCAAAGGACAGCACCTCCATCAATGCAGCACCCCGCCCCCCCAACTTTCATGAGAGAATAGAGTGCTTCAATTATTTGTGAATAGAGTCATGTGAACTTCCATATTATTAATACATGATTGCTTTTAGCCTGCAAATCTCGCACTCAGCACTCGCTTTACAAGCGAGAGACATGAGTTCAATTCCAGGCAGGGCGAAACCTTGGGCAAGTTTCCTTACTCCACACGCCTAATAATAATCCCTCCAAAAAACAAAACAATAATAAATTGGTCATTTTCAATCTACGACTGTTTGTGGGACATTGCTGTGCACAATTGGCTGCTGCGTTCGCCCACAAATATACAGTCAATTCACTTTACAGTATATTCTGTGAAGCGCTTTGGGACATCTAATAGACGTGAAAAGCACTATATCAAATGCAAGGATTATTATTATTATTATTTTATAATCTGGGTTATGCTGGTAAGATTTTTCCTCTACCAAAGTGAGATTGGTAGCGTAACAGGAGACTATGTGTAATCAAGTTACATATTTCCGCTAGTAAGGATTAATTATTAGATTTGGAGATGCCCTGGTGTGTTGGATAATAAGGTAGTTGCAGTTTCCATATGGGAATAACAGTCCAGACAGTATTAAAGTCGCAGTCAGAATGAGAAAGGCTGATTGTAATGTGTATGGTGATCAAAACTGAGCAAAGTAATCTACATTGTGAATCTTTTAACATAATGTCTGTGGATGGACTGTATATGGAACTCTTCTAGCATTCTATTAGCAATTTTAATTGCTTCATCGCCTTGTTCGGACATTGACATTGACATATCCAAACTCCCAGAAGACAGACTTTCAGTTAATGGGTTGTACAAGAGGTTTCTCAAACGTTAGATTTGTTAATTATTCATGTTTTTNAATTATTCTTCCACAGCACATACACATCTATTTTTGATGCATTGGATGGAAATGTCCTCAACCAATTTCCACACATAAATTGCTGAAGGTATAAATTATCAATATATTATATATACATATTTCTGAGTAAGTCTAGGGTGTCATTCATGATATGTCATTAAACCTGATGAGCGAAAAGAATGAAGACGTTTCATCACACAAAGGGTTGGGAAAATGTAAAATACACAACTCCAGAAGGCACAGTGGTAGAATCAATATTGTAGGTGCTGACCTTCGGATGAGATGTTAAACTGAGGACTTGTCCAGCTGTTGAAGGCTGATTTTAAAGAAGGTGTTTCACCCACAAAATATACAGTCAATTCACTTTACAGTATATTCTGTGAAGCACTTTTAGAATGTCTCGAAGATTGTGACAAATGCAAGGATCATTATTAATATTATTATACTTATAATCATTATTATTATTATTCTCATGGCAGTATTCAAAAAGAGATGGGAGCTTATCCTGGGGTCCTGGCCAAATATGCCCTAAGTAAAATTGATCATTCTCTTCATCATTTATGGGACCTTGCTGGGTACAAATTGCCTGCTGCATTTGCCTACAAATACATCGGCACTACTCTTTACAGTAAATCCTGAAAAATTCTTTGAATCAACTTCCCAACATGGAAGGCGCTTTGTTAAATGCAAGGATTCTTTATTTTAAAAGGAGAGGAAATGGAATTAAGAGATCTGCCATGATTCAGTACATTTGTGGAGTTGGTTAAAGGGGCAGAACAGCCTTCTGCTTTGCTATATTCCTATTCTTCTATACATTCCTATGAACACTGTGTAATAATCATAGAAACATAGAAACAGAATTAGGCCATTCAGCCCCTCGAGCCTGTTCCACCATTCTATTAGATCATGGCTGATCTGTATCTCAAGTCCAATTACTGCCCTTGCTTCGTATCCCTTAATACCCTGACCTAATAAATCTCTATCCACCTCAGTCTTGAAAATGTGAATAGATTCAACATCCACAGCCTTTCAGCGGAGAGACTTCCAGATTTGAAACTCTCTACCACATAGATAATGTAGAATACATCCCCCCCATTCCCATTCTAAGTTATTGAGACAAACCAAACCAAGACCTCCCCCCCCGCCCCCCCACACACACACACATGTGCTTAATCACAGACAGCCATTTTTCTAATCAAAATTACAGCCTGGATTAGTAACTAGAAGGTAAATATGGAGACTTCGTTTACAAACTGCTTAACATTTCATTCATCCCCCCTGCTGCATGGTAATCGTGTATTCATGGTGCTCTACTCCAAAGTAAATCTGCTCTATTATCAGGTTACTCACAGTTCTGATCTAAAGACTGATCGAGCAGCTCGGATTGCAAAGGATTAGCTGCTCTCAAGATGCTAATTTACCTGTCTTATCATTTCATAGTAGGCTTTACATTGATTATCTGTAAGAATTCCGTAATCATATTTAACTGCCTTCTGCAATAAAACATCACGTTAAGAAATTACACAAACGTCACATTTGCTTTGTGAGTTTCTGTAGAAGAAACAGGAATGATTCCTGAAAATAACTTCCATTATATATAATCGACCCAGGACTGATCAACGATTAACCTACCTTTCTTTTTCAGATACTGATCACCTCCTTTTACACCTCCAGCATTTTCTGTCAGTACTGCATATCTGTGGTTACTTCAGGCAGTGATGGTATATGCATGCATCTGAACTATTTTTCCTATAACAATTATTAGATCAGATTATTTGTTTTGCATTGCAAGGCAAGCATTGAAATAATTCTAGGAATTCATGCTGCAATACAAAATAAAAATCATTCCCTTCACTTGCCACACTGAGTTTGTACTGCATTTGTTACATATACAGTACATAAAAACGGTATGGTTCATTTTATTTCTGTAGTACAGTATACTGTGTGCAAATTATGTAACTATCCAGAACATATTAAGAACTATTGTATTCATCACAAGGCTTAAGCAGAGCCACAAATATGCAGTCAATTCACTTTACAGTGTGTTCTGTGAAGCGCTTTGAGACGTCGAGAAGACGTGAAAAACGCTATATCAAATACAAGGATTATTATTATTATTATATAGCACCCTCCACGCAGTGTCTTAGAGCACTTAATAGTGACGGAGCCTGACTCCGATCCGGGGGTGTGGGGGGGGGAGATGGTCGTAAACACAGTCGAAGAGGAAGGTTTTCAGGCGGGACTTGAAAAAAGGGAGAGAGGGGGCAAGGTGGAGGGATTGAGGGAGAGTGTTTTACAGTTTTGGGGTGTAGTGGCTGAACGTGTGATCTCTAGTGGTGGGCAGAGGGTGTGAGGGACGAGCAGGAGGCCGGTGCCAGTTGAGCGGAGGCGCCGAGTGGTGGATTGCGGAATGAGGAGGTCGGAGAGGTAGGGAGGTGCAAGAGAGTGAAGGGATTTGAACACGAGTGTGAGGATCTTGAAGTCGATCCGTTCGGTGATGGGGAGCCAGTGGAGCGTGGGCCAGACCTGGTGACATGTGGGTATGGAGTTTGGTCCAGATCAGTATGCGGGTGGCAGAGTTCTGAATGAGCTGGATCTTTTGAATAGTGGAGCTGGGGAGACCAGTTTGAATAATCCAAGCAGGAGGTGACAAACGCATGCACGAGGGTTTTGGCTGCATTTGGGGTAAGGTACGGTCGGAGGCGGGCAATGTAGCAGAGGTGGAGGAAGGTGGTCCTGGTCATGAACCGGATGTGAGGGAGGAAGGACAGCTGAGGGTCTAACTGGACGCTTAGATTGCGCACTGGTTCAGTGGTCTGATGGAGAGCCCAGAGAGGTTGAGGAGTTTAGATCTGCAATTTTCCAAGTCATATGTAGGGTACATTTCATTTTATTATTATTATTATTTAGAGTGCAGAGGGCAACAAGTTGCAGGCTTCTTACACGTCACAATGTGTACAGCCTTCCAATGCTTTGTGCTACGTGGCTGCTCCCAGACAGGCTGAAGCTTTCACCAAAAAAAAATTCACCTCTTATTCCATCCCACTGCAGTGATTACTTGTTTTGTAAAGTGTAGGAAAGGTTTCTGTAAAGTGCCCCTTTTATTTTAAACACTTGCTCAGCTTATTGCAGTGCGTACGAACCAAATGTCATGTTTTCATTTCAATAGAGACAATTCCATTAAAATCTATCAAGAACTACTAAAATTGTCCCTTTGTCCTGTTACAGCAATGACAATGCAATTCATCAGCCATCGTTTCCCTGACTACCACGATCCTACAATAGGTAAGCTACAAAGCTGCTTTATTAGTTTCTTTTCTTCTGAACAGTAATGGTTTTGTTTTATATTTTTGATTGCAGCTCTGTGCCCAGGTGCCTCAGTGTTTTCTTTTCCAGTTCTTAAAGTCCAAATTAATGGGCTCGAATTGTGGTTTTGCAAGAGGAGGAAAGCGATTCATTGCCGGGAGCTTCAGGGAATACATGGGGAATTTTCTGCGAATCAAGACTGTCAGTAACCCAGGGGTCTATTTAAAAACTAACAATACTTAGCAGTGTAGGTAGGCAACTCTCACTTTAAAACTATCCAACTAAATCGCAGTTCTCCGAAAACAGAAATAGCCCCTCAAAATCTCTGGGCCAAGGGATTTTCAGTTTTGCCAAACTGCTGGGACTATATAATTAGAGCTGAGTTTCACTTTCCTGCTTAATATCACAAATCATACAAATTCCCATTATGTAGTCACCAGTGCAGCAGTAAAAATAGCGCAGCCTAATAGCACAAGTATCTAGATCTTTGGGGCACAATAGTCTAATGCAGCTCCTTATGGCCTTTCAGTCCATCTCACTCTAAGCAGGTTCTGACATCTCCTTTGTTACCGGATTCAGATACAGTGCTAGACGCAGATGGATAAACATGAAGGAGATCATTAAGACACAGAAAAGTAGATTATCAATCAGTGTGGCTCGCCTGGAAACTCCACAAACCCTTAACTGGGCCTGTTTCAGTAGGCTCCACAATGCAAAGCAAACGACAGCATAACTCATTATTTGTGTATCCTGCACAGTCATACCTTAAGTTACTCATAGGCTACAATTCAATTTACGTAGTGGTTATATACATGAAACTAAATAATCACACTTGGTAATACTTGGTGACGTTTATGTGAGAAAAGGGAGAAAGGGTCAGGCAGTCAATGGGTAAATAGCTTGTGTCTACCATTCAAAGGTCTTTCAAACCCCTGTGTGATTATACTAAGGGATAACAACTTTTGTCAAGTCCAAAATTGAACCATAGTAAGTTACAAGCAGAAGAAGGAAAGGAGAGAACAAGATTATTTACAGTACAGCAAAATATGTGAACCCCAAATCTTCTGCGGCCATAGAAAACCACATGCAGAAGGCCATTCAACCTTGCTTCCTCCCTTTCCTCCTTCAAGGCCGGTCTCAAGACCTTTCTCTTTGACCGTGCCTTCAACTCCCCTCTCGACTCTCTTCCCCCTCCTCGCTCCCTCCCTTCCCTCCCCTCACCCTGACCATTTCCCCCTTGTTCGGGTCCTGACCCAACTGTACAGCGCCTTGGGACGTCCTCCCGACGTGAAAGGCGCTCTATAAATGGAATCTTGTTGTTGTTGTTGTAGTGTCTGTTGTTTGTTCTTTTAAAGAATAATCCTTTCATTCTCATTTACCTGTCTTTTCCCTATGCTCCTTTAGTTAATCCATTTTAAATGTCTATCTAATTTCAATCGCAGACTTCACATCACGGTCTCTAGACATTTCAAAAACGCCTTTCTAACCTCAAACCAAACAGAGCATTTTGGGGAATCAGATAATTGTACTCTGATACCATCCCCTTCAACATTCTCCAGGAGTTCACTGTGAGGACAAGGAGGGATGGATGATCTTATGAGTAAAGCTACTCTCAGACAAGATCATAAGCATGCAGCCTCCAATTGTTTGCTTAGCTCCCTGGTTGTGCTTTGTCTATGTAACTTGTGTAACAGAGTATTTAACACCTTAAACATTTTCTTCCTTACCAAACGACATGATTTAAATTACTAGACGTGCAACAGAATGACCAAACAATCGGCCATTCGTTTCATGGTTCTTTGTGGGACATTGCTCGGCATACACTGACTGCTGTGTTTGGATGCACAGTGATTACGCTATACAACAAAAAGCTCGGGTAGCACTATAAGATGTCCTGACGATGTGATAAGGCACTACATGAAATGCAAGGATTATTATTAGTCTCCTTTGGAAGGCCAGGTGAAGAATTTACAACTCTACAAGATATCACTACACGACTAATGTCCTTTGGATGAAATGTTAAATGGCTGTTCAGGTGGCCATTAAAGATCCCAGGGCACTATTCGAAGAGTGAAAGGAGTTTCTCCCGGTGTCTTGGGCAACAATCCCCAAAATAAAATTGGTTATGCACTTCATGGCTGTTTGTGGGCACTGCTTTGTTCAAATTGGCTGTTGCGTTTGCCTAAAAAATAAATAGTAATGACACTTTACTGTGTATCGCTATCCCTCGTGAAGGGCACTATACAAATGCAAGTTGTTGTTGTATCGCGTGAAGAGCTCATAAAACCATCTTGCAACATGATATCAAATGTAAGGATTATTTATTATTTACAATAACTGAGCAAAACTAATAGAATAAATAATTAACTACCAGCACTATTGATTTTTGAATGTGTTTTTTAAAGTCTGAAAAGCATGTGGCATTAATAAGAATTTAGAAATTATTTTTCAGAGGCTTTTTTGTTCCTTTTTGACCCACATTCAGTATACAATGCATTTGATAATTCACTTGGTGGTTTTCAGACAAAAGGCCCCACTTGTTAAAGGAGGGGAAAAGGATTAATTTTCTCAGGTCACAATGGTGAGAGAAGATTCCAATATTCTGTTTAATTAAATCCAACCAACCTTAACTGAATCAGCGAAACCACTAGAATTTGTATTTCCAATGTAAAAATAAGTGGAAACTGATTCATTTGTTAATATAGAAAATAGCAGGCACACAAATCAACCCAGTTATACCATTTAAGGTTACTTAATCTTAAAATGTAAGATTGTTGAAAATTATGACCAATTATGACCAATGACCAAGGCTATTAATAATAGTAATAATAATAATCCCTCCCTTTGATATAATGCCTTTCATATAATAATATAATAATAATCCTTGCATTTGATATAGCAAGTAACATCTCATAGGACCTCACAGGATTTTAATGTAAAGTGCAAAACATTGTATTTACAGGTGATAATTGGAACAATACGGAGTATAAGGTTTGATTTTGGAGGTTGTCATTCGCAATAAATGAGAATAATAATAATCCGTGCATTTGATATATAGCCTTCCATGTCAGGATGGCGTTTCACAGGATATACTGTACTATAAAGTATGGTAACTGTATTTGTAGGTGATTATTGGAATAATATGATGTATGAGGTTTGGCGTTGGAGGTTTGTTATTCATAGTAAATTATATTTTTGGTCAGAATGAGACTAACCACCACCCTCATATAGCAAATTGCTTTCACATTTCAAAGCTCTGTACATGGCAACTGTACTAATGGTTAATTTGTCGGACTGGATTCCAATCATTTAGTATGGATTCTAAGAAAAAGCCGGGAATATTGACATCAATTTGTATTTTCCTTAAAACAATGTTAAAGTGCTGGCATTGACTAATTAAGAATGTAATGGGCTGGTTAGGTGCTCATTGATGGTGGTCTCTTGATGACAAAGATTGGAGATCTGGTACCAAATGTTAGCTTGAGCCATGACTGATACAAAACCAATACTATTTCAGAAAGCACGGTGACATGATGGTCAGTCTTTGATCATGTGAAGAATATAAAGGAAGACAGTTTTGTGAAGTTCTAAATAGCCACAATGAGTACACCTTACAGATTTAATGAGAATGTGCTAGAGGCTAAGTGTAATGATGGTGATGGTAACTATAGCAGTAATTTGTCTTGACCCTGAAGCTACAGTGGTTGTCATGGCTGCAACAATTTCTTGTGAATTAACAAAGAATATGAAGGCAGAGTTGCAGTTTCCTGAAACTCATTCTCAGTTCCTTAATTTATGACAAGGGATAATTAATTAATTATCCCTTGCATGCATGCATGCATAAACAAACAAACAAACAAACACACACACACACACACAAACAAACAAACAACACTTGGATTTGATACTTGGCTTTTCACGTCAGGAGCATATCTCAAAGGGTTTCACAGGATTTACTGTAAGCTGCGATTGATTGTGTTTTTGTGTAGGCGAACCCAGCAGCCATTTTGTACACAGCAACATCCCACAAATAACCCTGAAGTGAATGACCAGTTGTGTCTGGGGGATCTCTAGCCAGGACACCAGGAAAGTCTCCCTTCTCTTTTCACATTTCAATGAGTAAGAACCACTTTATCGACTGGAAACTTAATGAAAAGTTTAGGACTGAACACCAGCCTGGCCTCAGGAAAGGATGATTTCTCCCCTTCACATAGTGAATTTGGTCATTTTGGGGTTGAATCTCCATGCACTAACATTATTAATGTTAAATAAGATGTGTGGTGTAATTTGGAGAGTTACGAAATCTGCAGCGCAGAAGTAGGCCAATTGGGTACCCACTGGCTCATATACCAGGGCACATGTGGAGTATAAACACCAGCATGGACTCGTTGAGCTGAATGAAAGCGTTATCTTTCTATGTAATGGATAGTTAAGTTTCAAGGCACGTTTGTAACATTCACAGTAATGGGTGTTCATGACAGAGTGCACAGTCAATACACTTTACAGTGGATCCTGTGGTTCAGTAATCCTGAATTCTTTAAAAGTTTCCAGATACGTGTACGTCAATAGCTGTGTGAAGCACATTGAGGTCTCCTCCCGACATGAAGAAGCATTATCTGAATGTTAATTATTGCTCTTTTTGCTTTATTGAAAAGACTCTCCGATATTTGTAATTTTATTTTTTATTGCTGTGCAGCTGTGGCCCCCTTGTTTTATTTTATTGTAAATGATTGTAAGAAAAATTTAGATCCAGATTTTCGAAACCCATTACAATTTTAAATATCTTTATCATATTCCCACTCGGCCTTTACTTCTCAAGTGAGAAAACTCAATCCTTACTGCATCCTCTAATAACTGTGAAGCTCCAGGAAGGGAACCCACTGGGGATTTTACGCCAGGCTGAGTTTTCCAGAGCCAAAATATACAAAATGTTTCAGAACAACAGAACATAGTTTAACTATTGCAATAGTTATACACACCTTATGCTTTTTGCCCCTGCAGAAGATGCTTACAAGACTCAAGTGAGGATAGATGATGACCCTGCATATTTGGACATTTTGGATACTGCTGGACAGGTAAGTGATAGTAAAACCTGAGACAACTCAAATTAAGACAATGGTTAAAAGGCTAAGAAGATGAGAAGAGAGCTGGGAAGACAGGGAAACAGCTGGGAAAATGGAAATAATATTAAAAAGATGATGTAGAAAAACAAGCACTATAGCACAACAGACACACACACAATCCACTCCATAAACACATACACTATAGAACAACAAGCACTACAGACACGATATAATAATAATAATAATCGTTGCATTTGATATAGCGCTTTTCACGTCGGGAGGACGTCCCAAAGCGCTTCATAGAACACACTGCAAAGTGAATTGACTGTATATTTGTGGGCAAATGCGGCAGCCAATTGCGCACCCCCATACTTACATACTGATATTTTCTATGATTCTATGAGGAACTTTGGGCCACTGGTGAATAAAATTTGAAACAAGAAAAATCTTTTGGTAAATTAGATAAATCTTTTGGTAAATTAGATATGCTGACTTGCCAAAAAGTCAAAACACATTTTATATATGTGCAAGCTAATTTTGAAATAGATTTCCAGCTAGCCTTTAGCTGATTAAGTAAGTTAGCTTCTGCCATTGGCAAATTAAACATTCAAAATAATGGGACTTGTTTAAAACAACTTAATCACTGTTTTATCCAGACTTAAACCTGCGTAAATCTTGTTAGGAGAAGATTAAAAGGCTAGAGGGTTTATTGCCTACTTGTAATGCTTGTACACCGTGATGAACGATACTGTAAAAAATAACAAAAAAATTAATGCTTGCATTTGATTTAGTGCTTTATCACATACAAACATACAAAGAGGAGTAGGCTATTCAGCCCCTCGAGCCTGTTCCGCCATTCTATAAGATCATGGCTGATCTGTACCTCAGCTCCAATTATCCGCCCTCGTCCCGTATCCCTGACCTAACAAAAAGCTATCCACCTCTCACTTCACGAGATACAATGTAAAATAAGATCACACACACAAAAATGGAAAATTCTTAAATCCAGTCCTAATCTTAAATCTAGTCTTAAATCTAATTTGGAAATCTACTCTTGTAATGAACTGCAGAAAACCTGATTCCAAATTCGGACTGAAGCTTCACTCATCAATGGTGGGGACAGAGCTGGTGGGGGACATGAATTAGGCCGATGGGATGAGGCCATAGAGGAATTTCAAAGTGATAATGTGAATCTGGAATTTGATCCGCTGGGGAATGGGGAGACAGTAGAGACAAGCGAGGATAAGCAATGGGTTGCAGATCCTGGTGCCAGACAGGGCATGGATTATTTTGTTTTGTCAGCTGGGTGTTTGACACGTGCGGAAACGCATCACCATGGTTAAGAGTGTCCAAACCAAGCTGAAAATTCCACGTATGCCATCTAAATGTGGAAATTCCAAAGATAGATTGTTGGAATGGAACGCTGGAGGGACGCAGTCTGGTTACTTAATTTCGGAAAAAATTAGGTGCAGGTTGGAAGAGTCAAGGCTTCGCGACCGCAAAGTGTGTGTTGGGGTGCTGCTGCAGTCTAACCAGCTAAAACCGCATAGCTTGCCATTGGTATTGCTGTCTGACAAGCTTTCCTGCTGCTTGTCCAGCTAGGACCACCCAAACCTTTAGGGCTTTGGCTTGCAGGGTTAACAGGAAATAGGGGGGATGCCTCCCTGCCTCCAGTGACTGGTCTGCCTTTCCAGATCGCGCAGCTAAACCAGGCTGGCTATGCTGTCATGAGCAGTGCCCTGGAATACTGCGGATCTGCCTATTCTGGATGATCTTCAGCTTGTATATGGAGGAGCTGGGAGTGCAGTGAGCAAGGCGAATGAAGAAGGTGCTAAAGGTAGAACATTAGTGTGGATTGAAAAAAATGCATAAGTCTATTCAAAGCCCACTTCCTTTTTATCACCGTGACTAATATTGAGAACCCAGATAAATGTCTCCCTTTGTCAGGAATGTATAAATCCATAATGGTAAAGTTTCCTTTTCTGCAAAAGTAATAAATCATGGCAAAACCACATCAGGCATAACTTTAGGCTGAATGATTGTTCTAACAAAGCCACCAAGCGACTCAGAAACCAAGAAAATAGTAATTTATAGACCAACCACTTCTTCTTGAGCAGACATTTCCTAAAAAATAATTACGCAAGCAGAAAAAAAGATTACAATGACCTTTGAGATCAAAGGAATAAGAGATGCTATCAATGCTCATCTAAAGAGCAGAGTTCTATATAGAATAGCCAACATGAGCTTTATAAGCAATAAGTCACCTCCCAGCTACTGAAATTCTTCAAGGAAGGAACTAAACTCTACATAAGAGCCATTCAGTGGATGTCATTTAGGTGGATTTTCCTGAAGACTATATGTCATTATAAGATTTTTAAAGGAGAAAACTCGTGACATGAATTGGAAACTAACTCATTGGATTGGAAACTGGGTAAGTGAAGAAAAGCTGAAGGTGATTTTAACTGGAAAAAAGTTCTATCTGAGTGTCTGTGACTCTGTGAGTTGTCTGTTTTTTTCAATGCTCACCATTCAGAAATTACTTATGAAGAGAGGACTTCTGGTAATATTAAAATATTTACAGCTGACAGCATGTATTGTTGCCAATACGGAAGCGACAAATTATAGATAAGAAGATCTGGGCCATTTAAGTAGATGAACCAAGAGAAATCAGACAGATTGTACCATTCCTGATCAGAGGTAATGTATATCGGAATGAGCAATAGCAAGTGTGTATACATACAGTTGCTTTTTCTAAGGTGGTCCATAAAATTTCAACCCGCCTTATACTATAATAGGGGTGATCAAGGAGAGGAAATTATTTTCCTTATTTACTGAAGGTTGATTTATGATGTTCACTAAAGGCTTCCAAACACTGTGACCCTGTTGTAAACAATGCTTACCAAATACCAGGCATTTGATACTAGCCATCTTCTCTACTACCATCTATACGAGGGAGCTCTGGGACTCCTTCACCAATACTCTTTCTTTCCTAACGCAATCAGCATTGTTCAAATGCCACAACTGGAAATAAATCAAACCTACATATTTAGATTGACTGATAATTGATCAATTGGGTATTCTCCCTATTGTGTTTATAATCGTTGAAGAATTCTGACTTATGAGTACTGTGAAATTGATTCCACATAAGACTCTAAAGCTAGACGAGGTGTAGCTTTTACACATCAACTAGTGTAAATTATATTGCATTAGAGAGTGAGTAATAAGAATGAATTAGTACACAGTCTTTTTTCTCTTCGCAACGGGTTCAACTCCAGGCCAGACTGGTGATATGAGCCTCTTATCTTTCTGGAGAGTGTGAGGGCTCAAAGCAGGGGGGGCCTAAGCAGGTTGAATTAAGGCAGCTTTAATACTGTTCCCATTGCACATGGGTCCCCTGTACAGAACTGTTCATAATTCAGACTAATTAGGACTGAAATAGCAGTCTCTCCCAGAGAGGCCACAAAAAGGTTTGGCAGGTGTGGGAAATGGAAATGTCACACTTGTATAGTCTGGTGCTTTCTCTCTCTCCTGAGATTATGATGAACCAGTAAATGTGGATCTCTACCCAGCATTTTACATACACTGTATCTTACCTATCAGTGCTTGATGTAAACATCAGGTGCAAAAAGAGAATAAATGTTCCAATTCCCAGCAGGGATGTCTTTCACATTCATGACTACTCAATTCAAGCAAACCTGCAATGCAACATGAAAAAACATCTCACCACAGGGTTTAGAGAAATGTCTGCTTGAGGCTTGATTGATTGCACTATCAGTGGAGCTAATTGAACAAACTCAATGGGTTCAATGGCCTCCTCCTGTTCTGAAAGCACTGGTTTGCTGTGTTTTTGAGCAACGTCACAAGATAACAAGAGAGTTTGGGATATCAAATCAAGAATGAGCAGGAATGAGTAATTGAATGATGTAATGATAATGAACCAATGATTGCTTGATTGGACCTCTAATTTTATAATAATAATAATCATTGCATTTGATATAGCGCCTTATCATATCGTTGAGACCTCTCAAAGCGCTTCACAGGATATACTGTAAAGTGCTCTGACTGTATGTAGTTTGTGGGAAACGTTTCTCCTGATACAAAGGGCAAAAACAATTGCTAAATCAAGATTGTAAAATAACCTAAATACTCTGTCATCCCAACATCACTTGGAGGCTTGGCCACCTTTTAAAATAAACATAATGGAACATAATGCTCAGGCATTTCCATTTTATTGATCGTTATTGTCCTTTTCCCCCATGAGTAGTGACTACACATGGCAGCTGGAGCTGCGTGGAGCCTCTGTCACATTAGCATGCGCAATAAATGTCAGGCGAGAAGGGGGGGCGAAATACGATAGTGTGTGCCAGAATATCAATACAATGGTGCCCTTTATTTTGTGATTGCAGTAAGAGCACAAAAAATTTCCTCTATTCTCTTCAACGTTGACACAAAGAACTTGTTAACCTTTGCTCATCACCTTTTGGTCTTAGTCCGTGATTGGGGAAAGCTGAAACCAACAGAGTGAACAAGCTGCACATTACTGATTGATTTTTGATACAAGGAGTTAAATACTGTATCTTCCACATAGTTATCTTGAGGTTAGCTCAGATAATGGAATATTTCTAACAGGTCGGCCCCTCCACTTTTGCAGGCTCACATAGTAGCACTCATGCCTCTAAATCAGTAGGTTGTAGGTTCAAGGCCCACATTGGAACGTTGAGCTCATAGCTTAGGTTCGCACTACAAATACATTATTGGTGAAGGGTTACATTGTTGAAAGTGGCGTCCTTTTGATGAGATATTAAATCGAGATGTAATCTGACTGTTCAGGTGATCATCAAAGATCCCATGGCACGATTCGAGCAAGAGAAGTGAGATTCTCCCAGTGCCTTGTCCGACAATCCCTCAAATAAAATAGATCATTCACTTCAAGGCTTTTTGTGGGACATTGCTGTGTGGAAATTGGCTGCCACATTTGCCTATAAAATATTGTCACTGCAATTTACCATAAA